TTTCAATTTTACCACCAAGAATGATTCCAGGTTCACCTTAAATGGCTCTCTGATCTATGAACTAAGCAGCTCTCTTTGGTACACGGCAGCATGATGAACTGTGCATAGCATGAGTGTGCAGTACGCGCTTCAGTCTCACTAGCGTGGCAGAATCTGCCTGTGGCTTCAGAGCGAACAGGACACTCGAAGCAGAGGCAGCAGGCTCCCTGTGCTGCTCTTTTCACAGCAAAATTAAAGCAAAGGAACATGAAACATTATCTTCCTACAAAAAATATGTGCATCATCTCTCCTTGATTGTTAGGCACTATGAGCCAAATGTTGCCTTTGGGATGCAGCACGTGTGCCTGTTTGTTCATTTGACAGAAGTACAGTCATAAGATAAAGGCCAAACACATGTAATTGGTTTCAGCATTCAGAGGAAGATGTTTACTAGGATCAGTATAATGCAAACTTACTCATTCAAATGCTTTTCATGCATCCCAGAGTGCAATGCAACATATTCAAAAGAAACTCTGTTTATTGGTTTGATTTCAAAAAAGAAAAAACAGTATTAATAGTATGCTTCATACCTCACATTAAAGACAGGAGTTGCAGTGTTCCTACTAACTGTACTAGACTGGGGCTAAAGTTCCACCTCAGTAAACAGAAGGAAAATTCAATATAGAAGCAGTAGTTTTCTCCCAAATGAAATAAGGGAGAAAATTTCAGATTCAAGGGATCTCTGAGCAGTGCATGGAGGATCCATTTTACATTAATGGGGCCTTCTTGCAACATCAAATACTCCAATACAATCGTTGGTTCTAATATTGAAGTCAACAGTAATAATTCACGTAATTTCAGAGCAAATCAATAGTATGTTGGAGCAGATTCGGTACTCCTTTCTGCTGCTCACTGCCGCTGTGAGCTCCAAGTGTTGGTTAGTTTAGGATTGAGGATTCAGCTACATGGTGGGTTACATATTTTCCTAAAAATATCCACCCATTAACATCCTCTCACAGTACGACTCTTAGAAACCCGTTCATTTGCTGTTCTTACTAGTAGTATTTATTACTATTTTAATACCTAATCCTGGCAAGGGAAAATTTTGAAAATCAAAGTGTCTTGTGGAATGTATCACTAGATCATTATTTAGAAGATGCTGGTTTGTTTATTTTACATCACTGTGAAAAGAAAATCAAGTCAGATCACCTCTGCGTTTGCTTTGTGTTATCTACCACTTTCTGTGTTTAACAAGAATGTGGTAAGCTTTGGCAATGTCCAATAAGGGGAGGCAAAACTGCCTGGCACCAGCAAAGATAGAAACTATTACATTAATGTTGCCTCAAATTAGAGTCTTAAACTATGCTGATCAGAAGAAAGTTCTTGCTCCTCTTCAGTTTCTGGTGTGTCATCTGTCATCTCTGTGATACTTTACTCTTGAAGAAAACATGATGTTAGCACTCTACTCTTGAAAAACATTGTGTATTTAAAAAAAACCTCCAACTGTAGACTTCTCAACATTTTACTCATTTGTAGTTCATTTCCTGTGCTGATTCACATGGAAAAAATGTTATTTTCCACACATTCCAAGCATATTACATGCAATTAATGTATTCCCATCTAAGTCAAATATAAGTAGTGTAGCAAAAAAGTAAGCCACTTTGTTTTTAAAAATAGCTGACTTTAAAGTCAATCCTTTAAAGCTGTGTTTTAAAGAAATAGCTGCTCATTTATAACAGCATTGTTGTACGTTTCTTTGTGTTTCAAAAGTGTACTTAGCAGTTTCATTCCATGCTTAACCTTAACTCTGACACAGAATTTTGACCAACCACCTGTTCTATCGACATACCTGTTGGGGTATCTTTGCCCGGAAAAACATGCTAGAGGGCCACAAACTTTCAGAAAGATCGTGCCATCACTGGCTTAGGTACCTGAGATATATGAATTTATAGTTGGTCTCAGGGCAATCGAGTTTCTGGTTTGGATGCAGATTCTCCAGATCTTTGCAGCTCTGGAGGTAAATAACTCAGTACCTGTCTTCTCAGGGAACTAACTAGGTTCCAGTCAGAGAAACCTGTATAAAACAAACAAGCAAGCAAAGACATAAAACCGATAATAAACCCCTAGCACAATTTACTTCTAGTCTACTAATCAACAAGTGCTTAAGCAGTGAAATTGTGCTATCCCTTCAGTATTGACTCACTCCTACCACCATCTGTTCTGGTTTAGCCAGCCATTCTGGAGTTTCAAACAACCAAAAAAGTGCCATGAAT